CGTAATTGCATAGTTTTATTTGTTTTTAGATACCTTTATACAGTGATTCAGAAAAATCAAACAGTGACGGAAAAAAACAGTCAAACCTTAGTGGAGGTCTTGCGTATAATATCCGAAATACTTATTTGGGGTGACCAAAATGATAGCTCCGTCATTGAGTATGTACTTCTAAGCTTTATTTTTTATTGCGTAGCTTTTTTCTGGAGAAAAATATTCTCGGGCACTTCATTCAATATATGAAGCAAAAAGCTGGACGTTGCATAAGTGTGCAACTTCTCCAAACGTTGAACATTCTTTTTGAAAATCTAAGCAACCAATCTGCAATTTGTAAAAAAATATAATTGTTTCCCTTATATCATAGATTATTTACTTTCCAACAACCATACGAACACAATTATTGCTCACCAATTTGACTTTTCAGACGAGGAAGTTATGGCCTATTACATATCTTTTTTGAAAGCTCTTTCCCTGAGACTGAATTCTGAGACGATTCATTTTTTCTTCAATGAAGCAAATCCTGATTGCGGATTATATGTTGAGGCTTTGAAATTTTTTTCCCACCCGGAAAGCATGGTTCGTATTGCTGTAAGAACCATCACTCTAAATGTATATAGGGGTATTAAAATATTATTTTATATGTCATCTTTTAGTTAACAGCAAAGAAATAATCAATTTCGTTCACAGAAAAACAGCTGTTCCTTATTTTGCTAATATTTCTTGGTCAATTGGGACATTGGCCTTAGACATTAATTCTCTTGTATGCCCCAACTACAAGTAAGTTGTGCCATTTTTAGTTTAAGCATTTCTTTTACCCATTATCATGAATTTATAATTTACTTAGCTATAAAGCCAGAAGTAAATTGGAAGATCTCGTGGCGGAAAACTTAGATTACCTTCATTATATTAACGATATCCTTAGTCTCGAGATTGATTGCCTCAATGATGTTCTTTGCGATCAACTATTGCATCGACTTTTTATACCTCTTCATGTATATTCCCTTTCAAAACGACATGCCTTTCAAAAAACTGCAAAATCGGTTTGTTATTAATGCTTTTTATCATTTTTTTAAAAAAATCCTGTTGTCTTTA